AAAACTAATTTTACATACCACTATCCTCATTAATTTGAGGTAGTTTGTAGTGGGTAAATAAAAAATCGAAAAAATGATTTTAAATTAATATTGCATATTAATCCACTATTAAGTAACTAACAATGTCATAAGATTTCATATATTTAATATATTGCCAGTTAAAATAATTGAAGATGTCCTAACTTATGATCTTTTGAATCCAGGATAAATATTTTTTATAATGAATCAAAAGATAAAGAACTGTGATTCTATTTTTTGAAATGTTAATAATAATAATTGTCTTTAATTATTTATTGTTACTCATTTCATTCCGTTAATTATTTTTAAATTAACGTGGAATGAAAAATCAATTAACTAGATACTGATAACCCTCAAAACAACTAAAAGTCCTAAATTGGTAACACTTTATATTATCCTCTGTTAGAGATAGTATAAATATTACCTTGAAAAAGTTAATGTACCAATTACAAATATTAATTAATCTGAGAGAAAACTGAATATTTAGTACAACAAAAACTTTGGAACATAACTTAAAAAACATGTCGGAAAATAGCTTACACTTTTAAATAACCTTTTTTAAAATATAAAGGTCATAGTTTTATTTATGAAGTAATTTCATTTAATTTCAATGCATTTTTCCATGCTTTCAGTTTATTATAGGTATTACCAAAAAGATTTTACAATTTAATTAAGCAATTATTTAATTCTAATAGTTATATTCTGGAAATTAAATTTTGTACTGATTATAATTTTTCGAAAATTACCCTATAGATGCAGCTATTGAAAAAGTACAAATAAAAAAATCGTAAACTTTTTTATTCCACGTTTGTCTTTTGTTTTTAAATGGTAAAACTGAAAATATTTTCCTTCAAATCCATTTAGTTATGCGAATGGAAAAATGTGCCAATTTCTAATTCTTAACTATATAACTACTTATACGATAAAAATAAGATAATTTTATATACCTAATTACTTCCGCTCCACATGTACATACTGTACAAGTACAAACAGTCTCGCATAGAATTGAAGATAATTTATTTTGTTGTTTATCGTAAATGCGCAATGCGCATGCAATTGTACTGTTATTCATATTGAAAATAAACTTGAGCAGCAATATAGTCCTTACTTCTTTTAGTTAAAATCAGTACAAATAGCAAACAATTTTCACGCTTACTTGATTCATGTCTTTTATATTTCAAATATAATTCGATATACATAATTAGTATATTTATGTATTGAAAATAGTGAAAAGCGCATGTAATTATAACAATTATCCCTTATATTGTCCTTTGCGGCTAATTACTTAATTGAATAGGTAACTACTGCAACATTTTTAAAAATTATACAATAAAAAACAGACAAACTACTTACTGTATTTTGTAAAATTTGTAAATCGTTGATTTTAGTAGTCAAAATGACGAACTATGCACACAATTTCTTTTTCCCTGAAAAACCATACATAAATAATTCTTTTGGCGCCCAAGGTGTGACTTTATCTCTTAATATATAGGTCAAATCAACTTGATTAATTTTTTCATTAATTAATTACAATGATTGCCAGGTTGAACGTATTTTTAATACTTATGTTTGAATTTAATATTTAATTTCAAGACAATAATGACAGGTGGAAAAGGTGCACCATTGAATTTTCATTGTTTCCGCGCGCGAAATTGTAACAGGAAATTTCGAATAAAATTTTTCTTTCAGTTTTTTGATATATTTCGGAATAATGTATTTTAGGTTGGGTAAGTTAAGTTAGATTAGGTTATGTCTTACTACATGCAAAATGTCAGATATATGTGACATTTCCACGCATTTAAATTGATTTGATCAGACTAGGTTAGGTTAGGTTTTTAGATATAAAATTTTAGTGCATTAAAACTCCTTTTGTATTCCCTTAATAGTGGCCTCTCCATTTATATGACCCGTCCACCTGGTATTAAAACGTAGTCAATTTTTTTGTAAAACATTATCATTGCTTTATTTTATTTTAATTTAATTCTGTTTAAATAAAAACTAGTGGACATATTTTAAGGAAAACTTGAAACGTTGGTGTCTCCTCTTGAGCAATTCTACACACTTGTTAATCAGAAATTTAGTAAAAAAATTTTGTGACGCCGAAAAGATATACTAAATTCTGTTAAAATCGACGATTTACAAAAAGACTTGGTAGCAAACGTAAAAACCTATTAACTTACCTTAAACTGTTCTAATTTATGTTATGTACAAAAAGAGTTCAATTTTAAAACTTGAAATTACTGTAGCATCATTAGTAATTATAAATAGGATAAGTATTATGAGCTTTTGAGGGAGACTTATTTTTTATTGTTTCAACAGTTGACGGACTCGTTTGGTACCATCGAGCGGAAATAGCTCTTTTGCGCGGTAAAATTTGTGGAACCGTTCGGTATGACCCCGTTTTCCGTCACGGCCTCCATCGTGTCCACATTGGCATATGAAGTCTTTTGAGACGGAACAGTTGACGACTGCGGTTGCTGTTTTGCTAAAGCCGATGCATCCAATGAAACGCCCGCAGATATCGAACTTTGTTCGTGTTTTACGTTATTGTTATGGTTACTAAGTATGTTGTTTGGTATTTGTGACATTTTTTGTGACAGGCGTTCGTTCTCTTTCGAATCCATCGACAGTAATTTGTTTACCTGTTTCAAATAAAGAAAAAAAGTTTATGTGGGTGGTATACTTCGTTTACTTTCTCTAGCGATGTGCTCCTTCCAATGTCTTAGATGCGCGCTGGCAAAATTGTAGGTAGGGAGAAAAAAGCTCATTATACTCTCGGCTCTCGTTCATTAAACATACTTTTTCATACTGTACCTACCAAAAGTTTTGTTCAATCATGAATAGTAGTGCGAGTCGAAAACAAGCGTTAAAGCCTTTAATATGTCTTCAAATATAAATAATCATTTCGTTGATATTTTTAGTAGTAAATGGTACCAATAACAACACATTTGAGCAATGCAATTGTAGTGGATAAAATGGTCAATTTTTCCGTGCAGTACTGTACGGATTATACGCTCCTCACCGGTTAAGAGTTTGGCCGAGAGTTGTCTCCTTCCTTTTCTGGCCTAGTGCTGTTCTTTTCTACTTTGCGCCGGTCAAACGGAACGTCACATCGCTACAGAAAGTGAACGAAGTATAATACCTACAATCATAACCCAATTTAAATCAAATTACTTAATTTGAGTTATGTCGAAAATTTAACCCATTTGATTGATACCTCTTATGAAGAGACAGTATTAAAAAAAGAAGTGCTCTAACGATAATGGTAGAAAGTCAACGCAAATTCATCGCCAATAAGTTCAACTAGCCAACCGCCTAGTTTTTGAATAGATTGCCTATATAAAATGGTGTGATTGTCAGATTCTGTCATAATTCTTGATATAATCAGTCAGTTGTAATAAGGAAGACAGTTCTGTAAAGTTATACTATAGTAAGTGGTATGTTTGTGGTAAGTATTGGTGGCAAAGCCAGGTGTCAGGGTTCGATTCCCGGCGAGGGTCTGACAACAGCAACAAATTTATCTTCATTAACTTGAGGTAAACTGTAGTGATAAAAAATTAATTTCACATTAACGTTTAATAATTATTTCATTTTGAACTGAGTCCATTCCTAACACGTACTTTTTGGAAAGAATATTTATCTAAATAAATGTCAATCGACATTCTTATTTCTTGCTGGACGGCTCCTAGTGAAACTTACTTTTGCATCTTCATTCAACATTTAACAACGTTTGGGCGCTGGTAAGTTGGGAGGTTTCTTGTTAGATTAGGTAAATTTGGAAATAAAAGAAATTTATAAAATACGAAGTACCTACTGTTATAGTAGTTAAAAGAATGTTTCTAGCGATGAGCAAAGTAAGACAAGAACAAGACCATCCCAGAGTCTTGGTATTGGTATCGGTCTTGGTCAGGGCCGTAGTGATGAGCTCGGGGCCCCGGTGCGGTATTCCGCAAGGGGCCCTTCTTAAAATTGATGATCAGAAAAATGTCATTAAAAAAAATGTTTTAATTTCACGAATAGATGATTCCCCGTGCAGCACTGACAGATAACCTCTCACGGTGATGCCAACGTCGCGGCAATTGATTTTGCTGCTATCAAAGCGAGAAAAAAAAACGTTTTAGAAATAAGAGCAGGCACTTGATGTTTGTGCAATGAATTCTATAGTGATGTTTCGGCTGATATAGATTTATGGTCAGCAATTAGTAATTTTTTATGGTAGCAATGATAATTATATCAACGGATTTAAGGAAACCATGAATGTAGAAGTATTCGCCATTTCGAGATGTATGCATCCCATGTAACTACGTACCTGATCAAATATATGGAGTATTGTGACAAAAATTGATATAGAAAAAAGTCAAATAAAAAATTATGATGTTCATTTCGTAGTTTGACTCAGCTCATCTCTAACAGCATAGTTTTTTTTAGAAGTCATTTTTTGAAAACAGAAAACTGCTAAGGGGCCCCTCGACTGCGGGGGCCCCGATGCGCCGCACCGCTTGAACCGGCCTCGCTACGGCCCTGGTCTTGGTTATTCAGTCTTGGTCTTGGTCGTGCCCAAATATAGACAGAGGAACAAAGACCACTCACTCCGAGGACATTTTTGTTGATTCCTTTCTTCAAACAGCGATAAAATAAAGCAAACTAAAAATTTCAAATACTACAAATATTTTGTTCCAAGGAAAGAATATATTAAAGTTGCATCCAATATTCTAACTCATAAATCCACCGGAAGTAACAATTTTTCGTTTAGTCTTAGTCTTGTATATTCGGTCTTGGTTTTTATTCTTCGGTTTGTTCGTTCCGTTTTGGTTTTAGTCTTGGTCTAGATCGTTTGGTCTTGATCTTGTTCTTGTTGTTGGTCCTTGGTCTTACTAGTATAAGGACAGCCCTGGACGGTCTTGGTCTTCCATTTTCGCAAGACCAAAACCAAGACTGTAGGACCAAGGCCAGTTTTGCTCATCACGGTATGTTTCTAAAAATTTAATCGATATCCGAGGAAAAAACGGCTTTAGACTTTAGGCGCTGTTTTCACCCAAAAAAAGTATCATATGACCAAGGTAGGTTCCATTGATATTTTCCAATGTGTTTTAGCGCTTTTCTTTTTAATTTGTTTTTTTCACTGCCTTCTAAATCTTTATACCTTGGATGAATACAGAACAAGATAAAGGATAAAGCAAGGAATGAGATAAGAATATAATAAGATAGGATTGGGACGGAGAACTTGAGATTCAGATGCTACACTAAAAGTTGTCGTGGTAATAAGAAAATACGTTTGAATATAGTTTTGTAGGGACTCCTAACTTGTGGTGGACTTGGGCACTAGTCCCCTATGTTTTTGTGTAAATTGTAAAAAAGTAGACTTGCGACCTGAAGCAATATAGGTTTTTTGTGGAAAATTCGCGTTGACTTTTATATGTATATTTTCGCATACCTGAAAGTGAGTATATTTTAAACTATTGACCGCTACTGTAACCTGCTAACAATTGCAGGGATCTTGGACTGTAACTCAGTTGCCAAATCCCGATAAAACTAGTGTACATCTCCTAGTATATGGTAGATAAATAATGAAGTAATGTCATATAAAATAAAAACTAATCAAAAGTAACAAGGTAGAAAACTAAAAGCCAATACAATCGACTCCCTCTAAAGTAGACCAAATGATTCAAAAGCGAACAATATGTGACTGTCAAAATCTTGACAACAAACAACTGAATTTTACAATGATTTTGTAAGGACTTCTTGGCATAGTTATTCATTTCTTCTATCTTCCAGTATACCAGATGTACCTAATTTTCCGTCTATTTAAAATTAATATTTATATTGCGCACATTTGTTTTGTTTTCCAAGAAAATATTTTTCAGTTCCCAGTATCTACACCAATATATCAATATGAAAATTTCGCTTTTATACCTTTTCGCTCATAACGAAATAAAATTGTGTTATTTCAGCTATAATTCCATTATTAACGTAAGGTTATAATAAAAAAAAAGGTAATTGTATCAGTGGTGGTCCATCTCGCCGATTTCCTCAAAATTTTAGTATGGTGTGCAGTTCACCGAGATGGAGATTTGAACCTCAAAAAAAAGAATTTAATAAACTTACCGAAGGAGTTGTACTTTCATCTTGGTTTTGTTCACTTTCCTGTAAAAGTGGTTGAGTGGATTTGGAATGAGGTATAGCAAAAGACGTTTCCCAATTGTCGGAATTTTCGGGAAGAAGTTTATCCATGGACGTTGTTGAACCCCCCGTATTTTGAGTAGCAGATATGGTATGATTTGGGATTAAATAATCAGCCGTTTGAGGCACCTGCAAAAAAATATTTCATAGAATTTTCTTTCAAAAGAACGGTAACAATGAAAGTTTTTTAAACTTCATCAAAACTTCTGAAGAAGCAGCAACATAAAATTGTGAAAATTGCAAAGATTTTAATTTTCATTTGTTTTTTTTCTTTCCATTAAACTAGTTGTTACCTGTAAGCAATTGTCGTCACTATTTTGGGGCCTCATTAACGTGGTGTCTCTTTCAGTCGAGGGAGGTCTATCAAAAATTGGTAAGGAGGCATTCATAACTTCAGGGTCCTGGGCGCAGTACCCTAACCTTTCCAATATAAGTCCGAAAGTGGGTCTCTGCTCTGGCGCTGGGTGCCAACATTGTGTCATAATCCCATATATGGGGCCTAAAACGATTTATACACGTAATCCTTTCTTTGAAACTGGATCAATACTTCATAAGTTCATAATTACTTTCAACTTATAAAAACTAAATTATCACTGTCCTCTAATCAAGCCGTAAATTTCTAGTTAATTTATATAAATGTAAAATTAAAAAACAATTGTTTGGTATTAAAAAATAAAATCGCTAAAATCTACAAATATAATCATTAAAAAATTCAATTTCATATTTTTTTCATAATGACCTTGAATACTTGATGTTACGAACGAATTACCGCAAGCAGCGATCGATATAGTATCGCCGACAGCCGCGGTCATAAATCATACACAAACGACACGCCCGGGAAACTAATCACAATTTTTGGTAATTATGGATTTCCAATGCTTACACCTCAGAAAATGTTAAATTTGTATTTGAATGAAACCTTATTTTTTAACGTCTTCATTTTTGGAACAAAAGTTTAAGTTCGATGGAATCCGATTTTAATTAAAAAATGTCATATTTATGAATAATAATAACCACATAAAGGAATACATGAGTTTTGTTAAAGCAAAGTTAGAAAATAATTTAAAGTTTCTTGAGCAATATCCAAGATTATTTACCTGGACAATTAGCAGGCGGTTCCAATCTCCCACCACTCGTAACGAGTTGCATTACTTCTCTATTGGGACAGCCAGTGTAAGGCATGTAACCCATAGACATGATTTCCCATAACAGTACACCATAAGACCAAACGTCCGTTTTACTTGTGAAAATACCATCCAAAAACGCCTCAGGGGGCATCCACTTAATAGGTAGCATTGCTTTGCCACCTTTTCTATAGTAATCCGATCTAAATATTTACAATAAAAATAATTTATTTAATAGTAAAAATTTGAGAAGCAAATTAGAGAAGTAAACATAGGAAAGGATTTAAACAACAATGTACATTGTCACCGCTACTTTTTATTCTATATTCATATATCAATATCCTCTCTAGCTGATCCAATTCACCAACTTATTACCATATTTTTGCCTTCGCGATCATTTTCTGATAGATGGAAGTCTAGCTTTATCATTCCTATCTTCAAACGAAGGCAGTAAATCTGACTTCTCAAACAACATACCTATTTATATACAAGGTGTCTCAAGCAAGCGGGTTTCCTTAATAACTGCTTTACAGTTGAAGATATTGTAGCGAGCACGAGCGTGTTTGTGTGCGATCGGGCACACGTGTGCGTGAACGGCTTATCAATTCGCCGACTAGCCGCGGGCGCCTTTCTTCATGTGCGCCGTATTTGTAAATGTGTGTGTCGTACCTGCGGTCTGGGAAAACAGTTAAACAGTTCAAAGAAAAACTAAACGATCCGGATGTTTCTAGAGGGTTCCAGAAAGGAAACAAAAGAGTATTTAAAGGAAGAGGCGATCGCCGAGAGAGGAAAAAATTAATTGACCGTTGTAGAAGTGAATCCAGAAATAAATTGACAGTGATAGAAGTAAAATACCAAATTCCACTATTAACGCAAACATGAGTTTTTCAAATTCATTAAAATCTACCACTTCCAAAATAAATGTTTCGAACTGGCATAACTATCTTCTTTTTTTAATGGAATGGTTTAAAGAAACCTGCCTGCTTGAGAACACCCTGTATAATTAGCGCCATTTGTCTTCCTTGTCACTACTTCTCTGTATGCTCACGCTTGACAATATATTAACTGTAGGTCCATCATGTCAACAGCAATATGGCGGCACATAGACAAGTGCACGTTATTTACATTGATGTGTAACCTTGTGGTTACTATATCTAATGTAATAAATAGGCATAATAGTGTAATGTTCGTGGGTTTAACAAAATTAACTTCTAATACTGATAACGACAAAAATTATTTATTTACACTGCTGTTGATATATTACTATTCACTGCGCTATTTATTTTACTCCTATCACTGTCAATTTATTTCTGGATTCACTTCTACAACGGTCAATTTATTTTTTCTTCTCTCGGCGATCGTTTTTTCCTTTAAATACTCTTTTGTTTACTTTCTGGAACCTTCTGGAAACATCCGGATAGTTTATTATTCTTTGAACTGTTTAACTGCTTTCCCAGACCGCAGATACGACACACACATTTACAAATACGGCGCACATGAAGAAAGGCGCCCGCGGCTAATCGGTGAATCGATAAGCCGTTCACGCACACGTGTGCCCGATTGCACAGAAACACACTCGTGCTCGCTACAATAGGTTCTCTGTTTGATTGTATATTGTCATATTTATCTGGTAGAGCTTAGAAAATATGATACAGTAATTTTCTTATCTGATCATATTTACGTTACGTCTGGAGTTCCTCAAGGTTCACATCTGAGTCCACTTTTATTTAGCATTTACATTATTAATGTAGTTCTTAATGATCTTAATAATGCTGAGGTTCTTTTATATGCACATAATCTGAAAATACTTATGGAAATTGTCTCTGATGCTGACAGTCTTATGGTACAGACGAAACTCAGCGTCGTTTTAGATAGATGCCACCAATACTGGCTACAGTTAAACGTAAATAAATGTCATTTCATGTGCTTTTCACATAATTCTATTACTATAGGTCACCCCTGATATAGATATGAGCTTGACAAAGTTTCTATCACGGCTGTCGTCTGAAGAAACCGTCTTATTGATGTAATCCCCACGATAAATCATGACGAATCATGCTGATGTCAAAACTGAACACTTTTGACGTCACCTTGATTTGTCATGGAGATTGCATCAATAAGATACGGGTAGAATCCGGAAATTTACAACTCGCTCAGGTTAGGCTAAGTTACCTGAGCCAATTCTGAATGTCATTTCATCGAAAAGCTTCAGGGAGAAAATAGAAATGAATTACCTATAAATATCTCTAGACATTCCAAAATCTGCAATCTTTACGACCCTTCCGGGACCTTTTGTGGTTAGCAGACAATTTCGGGCAGCTATGTCCCTATGAATGAACCGATGGTCTTCCAAATATTTGCATCCCTTGGCGACATCTATCGCGATCAGTACTAAATCTTTTACTGTTAGCGGACTTCCTCGATTCTAAAAATAAGTTATGAACGTTAGAGTAATCCATTTTACCAAATATGGACAATTAATTCGGTACTGTGCGCATGTATTCAAAAATTCAAAGCTCTTACTTTAAAAAAACATTGAAATATTTAATTGTAAAACTTTTTCTAGGAAATAGTTATAGAAGTATTGTAAGAATCTTACCGGTTTCGGTCTAGATTCTCGTAGGAAGTTTTTCAAATCGCCGCCTGCTAATAATTCTAAAACGATGTAACGAGGATGTTTGTCAAAACAGACACCAATAAAGTGTACAATATTAGGATGGTTGAATTTCGACATGATCAGTGCCTCCATTAGAAAGTCCATTTCGGCTTGATGAGTCGACATTTCCGGTAGCGTCTTTACTGCAACCGGCATCTCCACGGTGTCTCCAATCCTCTGACGGTAAAAGCCTTGGTAAACTTCTCCGAAAGCTCCTTGGCCTAAAGCTCTAAAATAATAGATTATAAGTGATATACCCGGCGATCAACACATTTGGAAATTAATCTGTTTGATATTTCTAGTGTGGTTTGAATAAAAATATTTACTTTACGAGCCGGAGGTGATTTCTTGGTATATCCTTGAGGTCCTTGAGGGTGTAAACTGCCCCATCGAATGAATAATTCGGGTTATATTCTGTCATCATATTATCCGAAGCAACTCTCAATCTGTTTAATTGGAGATCCGGACCTGATAAAATTTTTTGTCTAAGAATCCCTGCAGCTCTTTGTTGGTAACGGTTATCTGCAGTGAAAGAATAAATAACAATTTAATTTGCTATTCTAATTACATCAGCAGATGCAAAGGTAAACTAACATAAAAAGAAGAAGACTACTCCAAAGGCCAGTGCCAAACATATGACACACACTATTAAAATGGAAACAAACCATGTGGGGTACTGAGTTGGGGCATCATCCATTACTGAAAATTGAAATAAATATTAAAACACGCATTTATTTTTCGTGGTCACAAGTTTTATTTGAAAGATCCAGTTCCATTTAGTATCTACCATTTACTTACGTAAACAACTTTTTCCATTTGAGTCCAACTTCCAATTTGTGGGACATATGCATGTAACTTTTGACCTACTATAGTCCAATGCTAAACATCGATAGTCGCATTCACATCCTGGGATTGCAGGCACAATCAATACAGAACCTGGTCCTGCATGATAACCAGAACGGGCTTCGGAAAAACTCAGTATCGTTCGATTAGAATTAATGAAAGAAAAACCACCCTCTCCGTGTTTCTCACGAGCGTTTCCCCCTGAAAAGTTCATTCATGTAAATAATTAATTCTTGAAACACTTTTTAATTAAAGAATAAAAAATAATGCGGACAATTCGTCAATTGCTCGCCTACACACAATTGATTGAATTTCGACCACCACCAATAAATTTATAATTAACAATTTCTTTGTTAAAAGATTATAGAATAAGACACAAACAAGTATTTAAGCAACTATAATTTCGTGTACTAATTGTTGGCATCACACACATGACAGCAATTTCTGCTTTGCTATACAGTCACGTGATTTGTTTTGGATTTCCGTACACAGTTTCCATGAGTTCAGATGATATTATTTGATCTTCAGAAAATTTGTATTCTTTAGGAAAAGTTGATAGTAATTTTCGACATATCTCATATCGCTAAATTACATCTACTCTCGACGCAAAATTGCTCCAGAAACATCAAGGTTCGAAGAAAATCCAAAAGGTGCTAATTTCACTTGTTTGTTTTTGAGATAAGAATATTTCGAAATTTTCAAGGTATTTCTAAGTCAGATTAAGATTTGCAATCGAAAAATACATAGACTTTTAATGGCGAACTAAAATATTGACCTAGTATGTTAAAATTTCAAGATTAAGATATAGTCTCAACACCAAACAAGTCAAATTGGGGGGCAGTTCCTAGGACAGATTCGAATTTTGCGAGAAGTGATATGACGAAAATGAATAACTTTCTTGGTTTGTCGGTTTACTTCACGTCTTATGCTCCCAGAATGCTAAAAAGTTGCATTTTTGCATTGAGAGGTTAAGATATCCAAATTTTCACGTGCTAAAGCAATTTTGATGTAAACTCATAAATTCCTTCGGAAATGTCATCTCTAGTATAAGCTCACTGATCCATGTCTTATACAAAACCACAATTTATAAGCATTCATCATTTCTAGAAGTTTTAAGTTGGTAACTTTATAGAACAAACAAAATAGCTCAAAACCTCAACGGCAAAACACGACACTGTAGTTGTCCGAAGTACATTTCGGTAACAAAGTTACCTTCAGGGACTGAAGTGAACTGTTCATTTCAGTCCCTGAGGAAGGTAACCTTGTTGCCGAAAAGTGCTTCGGACAACTACAAGGTCATGTTTTACCGTTGGGGTTTTGAGCTATTTTCTTTTTTTTTCTAATCTTCATAGGTAACTTTATATGTAAAATCACTTCTCCATTTTTTATGTTATCATTAAGGAAGTCATATGTAATTAAAAGTTGAACAGAACTTTACGAATAGTACATAACAATTTTATGTAATGCTGACCTGCATATCCTCCACCTCCACCACCGGCTGTACAACCTCCTCCCCCACCTCCAAAACCTCCATCGCCACTTCCGTCGGAAGAATTATAGCAAGCCTCTCCCCCCACTCCTCCTCGAAGAAAAGCTTGTCCCATCCGTCTCTGGTGATCATAAGCTACTTCCCCATAGAACATGTCCCAACCCCCTCCAGCTCCCGCGGACCTGTTGGAAAATCCAATTCAAATATTTGCCTATTTAATTTATTCGGCGTTGCAGTTAAATCTTCTTACCCTGGTCCATACATTTGTCCTGTAACTGGAAGTCTCGACATGTTAATTGCTTGTCCATGTTGCCAACCTTTATCGTCGAATGCACCTAGTCCTAAACCACCCCCACCACCTGCCACTGCAAGTGCTACTGGTCGATTATTTTTGTTTAGCTGCAAAAAGTGTTTTATTTTTTATTCTGACACAATAAAGAAGATTATTTATACAATATAAAAACATTATTTACATAATACATGAATGTCCCTCCCCCACCACCTCCACCACCATCGAGAATCTCCATTTTCTGGATCATTCGTATGGCAGTTGTTAAATTTTTTGATCGGCCATCCAAGTTGTACGATTTGCTGCACGATGAGTTCCCCATATGTCCCAAGCTCTGTAATAAATGATAAAAAAATCTTCATTTACATGCATTCGAAAACAAGTGAAGCTGTTCAAACCTTATAGCACGCATTTGATCCTTCTTGGCCAACAAGGAAATATATCTCTTGACCTTTGTACAGTTCCATTACGGTTCGTACCATTGCGGCCCTCGACGAACCCATACCACCACTTCCTTTACCTCCACTGGCACCAACCAATATAAAACTGAAACAAAAATTGTCATAAATGAAGAGTAACTTTAAAATGAATAATTTTTAATAAAAATCATTCTGCGTTCATTTGACTAGACTGTTAGACAAATGTTTTAAAAAAATATAATTACGAAGTTAACTGTTGATATATTTTTGTTTCGCCACGCTAGTCAGACGAAGAAGAATTTTATGTCCTCAGAACATCATTAATTTGTATTACAAATACCCTTCAAAGTATAAGTACTAATTTTTCTTACATATCACGAAATCATACAAATATCATACAAGGTTCTCTAGTCTGCTATTAATAAACCACTAACTGGTACAACAAGAAGTCATTAAAAGTTGCAGATATTTTTAGTGAATTAAAAAACCTGTTGATATGTTCCGTTTCGAAATTAGGTTTATTCTGATCAAACCCATATGACTGGTGCAGAGATTGACTAAATATAAAATTTCCAAATGCAGGACAACCCTGTAAAATCAACCTCTGATTCAATCATATTGTATTTCTGCAATTTATAACAGTAAAAGTTCCTTATTCACGGTTTCCTTATTCGCGTTTTCATTATTCGCAGCTGAAAAAATTGCAACCCAGTTCCTGTATTCGCGGCTAAAAATGTCATTATTCGCGGATGCAATCGCTAAACAGAAAAGAATTCGGTGTGATTTGTTAAGTGGATTGACTGCAACAGACCGCTCGTGCTCACTGTGAATTTTTCCGAAAATATTTCTATTCTATTCTATTCTAAACATTGTGATTTAACGTTCCGAGATAAATATCTGATTTTTTGTGTGGTAACAGACAAAGGTTCACACTAACTCGGCACGTTTTTAGTTTTCAATAATATGGTCATTAATAGCTTTTACAAGTGTTAAAAATTGATGCTTCTTGTAGGACACGTATTTTCAATAGAAATTAAGAAATTACAAAATGGCCTTCGACAGGCTTTAGAACAAACCTTTATCCATCTTACTACAAAATTTCAAACCTCTGTTCCAAACATTAAACTCATGATATCTAGAACCGATAAGCATGTTTTTATTCTACGGCGCGTGTACTACTGAATCTCCTTAATGTATCGGCATCTTTTGACTATGTACTGCTGGTACGTGCCGAGGTAGCTTTTACTAAAGATGTAACCGAGTAGACTAATTTGAAAATTCAAAACAAGAAAAAATCACTAAATTTTTTAAACTGTTGCCTAAAGCTGACTATAACGATTAATTTTAATTGCGAATTTATCAATACAATGATTTTATTTTGATACATATTGGTTTCATTTCGGAACCTTAGAACCTATCCCCTATGATTCCATACTAATTACCATTCCATATCCACGGTTTCTGTATTCGCGGCATATTTATGGAACGTATACCGCGCGAATAAAGAGCTTTTACTGTATTGTATATAGTTCTTGTAATATATCTTCGTAAAAAATTGATAGAAACGAAATAGTTATGTAAAAGTGAATTTTTCTAAACTTGTTCAGTATAAGTAACCAATAGAAGGTAGGCACAAGATGCCGGTTTCTCCTTAACCGCTTCCACTGCTCCAGTTTATTCTCCATTCCTCTATTATTCCCTAATCAATAAAATACTCATTTGTAACCCCAGCAATGGAGATAGTGGGATAATTTGAAATCGAAAATACTCTTAAAATTTATTTACTCTTATGATTTTTCCACACTTTTTTAAGAGAAATTGGACATTTCCGATGCCAAAAATTTCCCATCCCTTCTCTTACTATTATAGAAATAATTTTCATCTTTCGCTGATGTTTTAACAGAAAAATGAGGACTAATTTAAAATGTTACCTAAAGCACTTCTATACCTCATTGTAAACTACAATATGGTGCATGTGGTAGGTGAGTGAGATTACATTTTTTACATGTTATGAAGAATTATTTTTTACCAGTAACTGAGACCCTGTTTAAATTAAAACAAGAGAGATAAATGAAAACTACGAAATTATTATCCTTTTACACTCCTTTTTTGTACTTACGTGTAGTATCCCTCAGATGGGGCAACCCATTTTTGAACCCCTTTAAAAGTATTGTCATTTAAAACAGTCACAGAGGTATTGGTGTTATTGTAAGCCGTTATACAATTTCTTGAAGTTGGTCCGTGTCTTCCTCTGACTCCACAGGTGGTTATTTCGTAATCTGCAACAATGTTTTCTCTTAATATTTTTCATCAAATGAGATTTTATTTGCGCGAAACGTACAAGTTTCATTTTCAAAATCGGGATGCGGTTTGACGGACGGATATTCCATTTCGGCATTCCAATAATTGTAACCCTGCAATTCTTCGGTGGGAATATTTAAACCAAAACATTCTGGACTCATGGTGAAATCATCTATAGCAATATCGCCCAAATATCTTATTCCCCTTTTAGCCTCGAATTTTAGAAAGTATCTAAAAAGGATAAAATCTTTCCGTTATTAAAAAATGAATTGTAACTATTCGTAAATATTTAAAGAAACTCAATAAATTAGAGTTTAGAAGGGAGTTGTTTCCAAAATATAGTTGATCATAAGTTAATTTTTTGTCTGAAATGGCTTCTTCAATTTCTATTAATACGTAATTATCTAACGTCTTGTCTCCTTTTATTGTGATAATTCTGTTATGTTTTATGTTGAATTATCAAGTTAAGGAAATGACAGGCTAGGACCACCTACCATTGTAAAAAGTATTTTACTGGGGAAAGTGAACAATAGGAGAGTTTAAGAAGAGAGTGGAAGAAAGGGTTGAAAGGATTGAGGATCGGGAAGATATGATTAAAATGATGACAAGATGTTAAGAGAATAATGGTGAATGGTAGGGAGGAAGAATGATGAAACGAAGGTTGTTGAAGGAAAAGAAAGGAATATAAAGATGCATTATATATGGAGAAGGGGTGAATGAAGAGAAGAAGAGTATAAAACAAAAAGGTTTAAGTATAGAGAGCAGATTAAAATAAACAAAGAGGGATATTAAGATAAAATAATAAATGATTTAAAGGCGGAGAAAGAAACGAAGGGATGCTGGAAAAAGAGATGAAATGGAGCAAACACTTTAAAGCGATATTGGAAGTGAATGAAGAGAGGATATATGCCAAGTAATAGNGAAATTCTACAAGGTAATAAAAGTACCAGGTACTTCTGATCATTTTCGAACCTATCATATCTTTAATTCTGCACCTCCTAAGCCTTTACTTAAAATTACGCGCATGACCACAATTCAGATGGAATATAATGGAATTATTTTTTCTCAGTTCAACTATTTCAACGTGTGGATTTCGTAAGTTACTGATGTCGTCACATGCGTATTGGCAACCCAACATACATCGTGACAAAGAAGACCAGGTTTCTAGACGGCATATACTGGATCATTATAGAACATGGCCAGCCTCTATAAAAAGTTGATGCGAGCTCGAGTTAGTAGGAGTACGAGTTCGAGTTACGTGGTTATACAAAGCGAAGAAGTGACAAAGTGTTCATATAGCGGTGAATTGAAAAATAATTTATAATAGAAATGTTAATTAGACAGCAAATAGTTAAATAGAGATTAAAAAAAAAAGAAGCAGGTGAGGAAGTGATTTAGGGAAAAGAACAATACAGGAGACTGATGAGGAACAAATGCAACGAAATGATAATTGAAGAGAATCTAAGAAACATAGAGGAGTTAAAATATGTGGTGAGGCTGGCAAGAAGATTTGGTGCCAATGTATTTAGAAGAAGGAAGGGACATAAACGTACTAGCAAATTTAGGACAGAAAATGGGTGTAGGGGGTGTAAATATAGCAAGAAGGAAGAGGAGAGACATGGTAGGATATGTGGCAGAGAGGAACGGGGTGTGCAGAAAGGGTAGGGGGTGTTTGTAAATTCAATAAAAACCTACAAGTCAGAAAAAACATTTTTGTTAATTTTTAGACAAAGTTTTGGAAAATTAAATATCAAAGATGGTGTTGTCCAAATGTTAACCCTCGCGCTGCGCACTCCTTCAACCGAAAACGGAAATTAGCCGTCACGCGTCTACACTTCGTTCTGGAAACGGCGGTCATTTCGGTATGGATATTGTGCTTCAATTGCAGTGGAGGTCGTGATTTGTTTGCATTGTTTAAGGTGTCCCCATAAACAATAATCAGGAGGTGTAAGATCGGGGCTTCTCAGAAGCCAGTTGACAGTGCTTCGACGAGAGATCCTTTTTTCGAGAAAAGTTGATTGACAACAGCAAACGATTGATTTAAGGTGTGATAAGTGACCTTAACTTGTTGAAATTATCATTCCACATTTAAACCACCAAAATTCCAAAAAGTTTCTTCTTCTTCTTCTATGTCACAATACCGGTCACTCTTTGCAGTAAGTGTTCGCCCTCACCGGTCTTCAAATAAAGAAGGCACTCACCAGACATGGCAGCCCACGCAATAACTTTTGAACTATGTAGTGGTTGTTCGTATTTATGTCTTAGATTCTCTTTGGCCCAGTACCGACAGTTCTATTTGTTTACGTGACCATTTAAATGAAACTTCGGTTTGCCACTAAACAGAATGTTTTCAAACGTTGAAGCATTTCATTTGCAAGATTCATACGGAGAGGATAATCGGTAACGTTCAGTTTCTGAACTAACTGAATTTTGTGGCCTATAAGATGTAAACCTTGCTTCAGAATCTTCTGTAACGACAATTTTTTTAATGTCAAGTTCTTGACTGCGTTCGCGAACTGACTGAGATGGATTTCTCTCATTTCTTCAATCGTTTGTTGGATTCGAAAAGAGCACGGACGGCCTGGATTGTAAATTTTTGCAGTCGAACCGCCATTCTCGAACATTTGAATTCATTTTCTAATGGTTTCTTCCTTCGGTGCATTTCGTACATTGAATTTTGCCCGATATAATCGTTGAGCTGTGATCATCGGATAATTGGATAATAGGCTCGTACGCAAAAAGCACTGTGGTCTACCGGTTACACTTTCATGATGATTAAATCTCCAAAAAGTAGTGAAACAACCTACCCGTACCGCACCCCCCTCCCCGAACCGCATCGTTACAAGGTCAGCGCAGATACAAATACCCTCTACTCTTTCTGGGCACCTTGTATAATGTCTGAAGCATGTGCTAGGAGAATATGAAGATAGTAGAACTTTGGAAGGACAGTGAAAGAGGTGTGACAAAGAAAGGTAGTCCGGGGGGGGGGAGAATATAAGTTTATATAGGTAAGATAAAAATAAGTGTAGGATTTTGTATGTTAATACAGTGGAAAACAAAAAAGCCATTTTGAAAATAAACAAGGACGTATGAAGTATTATGGTATAAAATAAATAACTTGAACATAATAGACATGGAAATAAATAAAATTATTCCAGAAAATTCCTTACAATACGTCTATTTGAAGTAGCGTACCAAATATCTATCAACACCCACCTTCAATCATGTCTCTTAGAAACATGAAGGAAGAAAATGTTCGATCACTTGGAAATGAAATGTGATTAATGCTTTTTGTTTATTCGCTAAGAAAAAATCTTGAATAGTGCAAGAAATAGCGATTTAATGGAAATATGTAATATGATATTATATTTTTACAGAATGTTTCTGTAAGGTTTGAAAAATGCAGATTTTTTAGCGACATTAAAGCTCAAAAAATATTTTTATTTTCTACCTCTTCAGACTGAAGGAGATAATCCATAATATGTATAAAATTAATTTTAATATCTTCAAATCTTATGTAACAAGAAATCGTATTTTTTTTTTCATTCCATCCTTTTTAAAAAGAACATTTTAAACAAGAAGACTTAGATTTTAAGACTATTTTTTTATATTATTTCGAACTAACATAGTTTCATTTTCATAGAGTTCAACTTAAACAAAATTATCATGTAATAATTTCGTAAAAGAATTTTTAATTACGAAAAATATAATAATAGTGTTATGATAGTAATAATTAATTCTTTAGTTTTGTATAATTAATGAATGTGCTTAAACGTTCACTTGCATATCAAGCAAAACAAGGAATAATAACAAGGCATTTCAGATAAAAATTCAAATTTTACGACTTCAAAATTTACATTGGACAAACAAAAAGATCATTCGAAGAAAAGACATAAGAACATTTACCAGTTGAATTTTCCCATTCAATGTAAACCGAGTTTTTTAAAGAACAAAGATAATTTATAAATCCTAATCTAATAATCAGCAAAACTTAAAATATTGAATTTATTTAAAAGTTTAAAAAGAAATAAATATTAATTCATAATTATTGTTTGATTCACATTATTAATATAACATATTTATGTACCTGTGAGTTATATTTGGTAAAACGAATAATTTCCGAACCCAAATGTCCCCATAATTGTTGTAACTCCAAAACAGTTGCGTAGATACATTCTCTTTAGGCTTTATCTCGACGACGCTCAAATCTATTCCACTTTTGTGACTTCCATATTGGTGAAGATAGAAACGAATCTATGATAAAAATTATTAAATTANACAGAGATTTAGTAAACCAATAATGGGGTATTTTCAAACAAGTGGAACTTTATTAATAAACAAAAATTTACAAATATTTCACTCAATATTTCTTCCTATATTCTTATGGATTCAAGTTTGCCTTTTCGAACCTATCATATCTTTAATTCTGCACCTCCTAAGCCTTTACTTAAAATTACGCGCATGACCACAATTCAGATGGAATATAATGGAATTATTTTTTCTCAGTTCAACTATTTCAACGTGTGGATTTCGTAAGTTACTGATGTCGTCACATGCGTATTGGCAACCCAACATACATCGTGACAAAGAAGACCAGGTTTCTAGACGGCATATACTGGATCATTATAGAACATGGCCAGCCTCTATAAAAAGTTGATGCGAGCTCGAGTTAGTAGGAGTACGAGTTCGAGTTACGTGGTTATACAAAGCGAAGAAGTGACAAAGTGTTCATATAGCGGTGAATTGAAAAATAATTTATAATAGAAATGTTAATTAGACAGCAAATAGTTAAATAAAAGTAGTAATAGTGCGAGAAGGTATTTAAAGACGTAACAGTATTGAATTCTTCGTTTACCATTGCAATTTTCTAGACCTCATAGGGACGAATTACTTCCAGTTTTGGTTATTCAACGTTTTACATAAACCCAAACATCTTCGGTGACGATTTTCAATATTCTTTGTAATCAGCCGATTTACATTGGACTTTTGCCGGCCTTTTTATTTGATATATTATTAATGAGATAACTGATAGTGTAATTACAGACCTTCAGTCTGTTTGTCATAACGTATTGAGTCCGAGGATTTGGTCTAATTTATCAAGAATTTTTAGCATGCCTAATGTTGTAGGTAAATCTTTGGGTTTCTTTCTTGGTTCTTTTCTTCGATTTGCGGATTCTTATTGAATTATTGTTTGATTCATTTCACTATAACACAAGTTTAAAAAGGTTCCGCCGCGGTCTGCAACTACAGAGTCAGTTCTTGGTTTTCCCATAATTTTAATTTAAATAATTATGATTATGTTTTAGCAAAGATCAAAACATTATGTAGGTATTATTAGCTGAGTATTAAAGATTAAATACAACCCGTCATTGGTTTACTATTACTCTAATACAGGTACAAGTTTTCTTGAAAACGTCTCAAAACTTATAGACATTACTAAATTTTTGAAAAACTCCTATACTTTTACATACAGTAAACAAAGTTCGCTCTGATTGGTTTGTTCATTAATTTATCATTTACAGAATTCATAAAAAAAATCAATTTCAAATAGGATAAATTATGTAAGAACGTACCATACATGATTTATAATAATTTGATGAAACATTTAAATGGGCTCTTGGTGGAGGGTTAAATATAGTGCTTTGTAGGGTCGCTATTGTGGCAAATTTAGCCTTATCCACTCCCATATTCACGTACATGTATTTTCCTGAAAGAATTTTTTTTTAATGCATTGATAAACTGACAACGACAATGAAATGGATTATGTTGATTTTGTACCTGTGCTGTTCATATATGTGTGGTCTTTGTTAGGGCCCGTTTTATTTGAAGGGGTGGTTCCATTATGCCTTTTCCACGCAATTTCTTTTGCACCAACGTTCATCCACCCACACCAATCGGCTTCAAAGTCACAACGAGCACCGTATGGTACTTTATCTATAAAAAAAAACCAAATAAACTGTGACATTTATTTGCTTTGAAGGTACACCTTCAAAGTATGACATATATAATGTCTACGTATATGAGAATTAATAACCCTCATTTTAACGATAAACTATCTATCGTCCATGTATTGTCGAAGAAAAATTTCAATAAAAGAAACTATAAGTACCTACAGAAAAACGTACATTTTCGGCACCATTCAAAATGACCAACTAAGTCGAATAATCGACACAATATTGCCAAGTAGTTTAATAATATACCATTTAAAACCTTATCATTTAATATTAATGTGAAAATCCATTTTTATTCACCACAAATTAATTAGGAAAAATTGTTTCTGCTGTCAGACCCTCGCCGGGAATCGAACCTGGGATCTTTGGCTTTACGCACCAATACTCTGTCCACTAAGCTACGAGAAATGACGAAACGTACTTAGTAGGTCACAGATTCGTCAATATAATATTGTCATTATCGCTCCTGTCACTTCTCGTAGCTTAGTCGACAGAGTATTGGTGGGTAAAGCCAAAGATCCCAGGTTTGATTCCCAGCGAGGGTGTGACAGCAGCAACAATTTTTCCTCATTAAGTGTAGTGAATAAAAATAAATAAATAAAATAACATCATATGAAATACTTTAACAAACTTTTAATAGTGGTTAATATTTTATATGAATGTGAAAATTTAATTCAATTTTTATCCATTACAAATTACCTCAAATTAATGAGAAAAGATTATTGCTGTTGTCACATTATCATATTGTGCTTCTTTTTATTGGAGGTCGTTACTTTTTGAGAGAAGGCGAAAATGATACATTTAAATTACCAACGTGGGAGACTCCCCAAGAAGATAACTGAAGTAGAAAATAATATCGAGACAGTGACAATGACCTTTAAAAGCAGCTTTTTTATTCTTTTGTCGAATTTATACAAGCATATATATTATGATATTTTATACCAACAACCTTGAACTTTAAAAACTATTTTTAATTTTCGCAGAGAATTGTCCAGGAAGACTAAACAAATTTTGCTTGTAAATTTCCTCTATTAAAGTTGAAAGGTAAAATAAATTTTGCGATTCTTATCCTCAAACTTGAGGGAAATTCTACAAGGTAATAAAAGTACCAGGTACTTCTGATAAAAATCGTCACTTTACCGTTTTGAAAAATGCATATTTTAATGAAAAGTGTGTTTTCAAAATATTTTATCGTTCGATTTTTTAAAAACTATATATACAGGATGTCCCATAACTTTGAATCAATGTATATCTCGCTTGCGATTGTAAATTTACTAATTATTACTGTATTAATTATCAAAATAATAATTCATTTAAACAAGCTGTTTTGGACATATTGGTAAAGAATTCTTGATTAGGATTTTCGTTTTCAATCCTGCAATAGTTTGAGAAGCGTATTGATCAAAAATTTGCAACATAAGAACAAATGCTGTGCCACCAATTTAATTAATCAACAACTCGATAATATTGTTAGTGCTTTTGATAATGATCAACAATTCAAACAATATTGTCAAATTGTCGATCACTTAATTGAATTTGTAAAACTTCATTTATGTTTTATTCTAGTTTTACAAATATTAATGTGAAAATTTATTTTCAATTTCTTACCACTATAAACTACCGCAGATTTATGAGAGAAAATTTGTTGGATTGGTGCATAAAGCCAAAGGTCCCGGGTTCGATTCCTGGCGAGGGTGTAACAATAGCAACAAATTTTCCCTTATTAATCTGAGGTTGTTTATAGTAGGTAACAAACTGAAAATGAATTTTCACATTAATATTTGAAATTAATCACTATTAAGTGTCAAAGCGTTTCATATAACTAGTTTTACAAGTTTTTAATATCTCCTTAAATACAAATCCTTAAACTGCTTATTAAAAGATTTGCAATGGTTGGCTAAAATAATAACTGCATAAAAATATTAGTATGTTTTATCTCTCAAATGAACTGAACCTCCCCAACTGGAACTTTGATAACTCTGAATTTTCTATAACTTCAATACTGTTGAATATATGTATGTAATTGTCATATATTTTAATCTCCTTGAACTTCCCCAAGTCAAAATTGTTTGAAACTCGAAGCTTATTTTGTAGGCGGAATAGGGTACTAACCAGGGATGTAACGGAGGTAGTTTTATCGGAACCGAAGGCGGAGTCGGAGTTTTTAAATTTGTTTTATCGGAGTCGGAATCGGAGTCGGAGGCAGGGTCAGAAGTGGTGGCATGAGAGAGAATTTTTATTTGAGGACAAATAAAACATTATTTAGTCAAATTTTTTTCATTTCAATTTTCAATTATAAAATAAAACACAAACAATGAAAAAATAATTGACGATAGAGTACTCAGTGCACGTAGTGCGAGTCGGGTGGATTCCCCGCGCGACATGTATGAAGTTCATATTATGAACCTGTTCATAACAGTCGACACAGGCCACCGCTATGTTATGCTTCGACCTCCGATTAAAACCTTCGATTTAAAAGTGTCGGAGCCGAAGTCGGAACCGAAGGTGTAATAATAATCGGAAGTTCCGACTTAACGGAACCGGAGTCGAAGCTCCGTAACATCCCTGGT